GGGCCGCGGGGCCGCGGCGCTGGGCTGGCCGGGAGCCTGGCGGCGGCGGCGGCTCCGGGGATGGTCCACGCACTGGCGCCGTCACGTGTTGTTCTCCTTGGAGTGAGCCGGAGCGGCGGCGGTCGGAGGGGGCTGGACGGGAGAGCGCGGCCCCCGCCGCCTGTTTCGGTGCGGGGCGCCGGGAAACTCGTCGAAGAAGCCGGCGGAGAGGGAGTCGCCGCGGCGGTGCCCGCTCCCCCGCCGGGCTGGGGCACGGGAGGGGGCCGCGCCGGCGGCCGCTGAGGCGCTGCCGACTGGAATGAAGAGGAGGAGGAAGAGAGGATGTTCCTTCGGCGCCCGGGCTGCCTCCCCTCCCTCCCTCCCGCCGCTGCCGGGCTGCGCCGTGTGTGGAAATGGCACTTTCTCTGCCTAACGAGATGGGACTGAATGGGGTCGCCAGCCTCCTCCGCACGCTTGAGCGGGAGAAGCAGCAGCAGCAGCAACCCCGGCGCTGATATTTGGGGAAGGGGGGGGGAGGTTGTGTGGTGGGTGGCTTTTTCTTTTTTTTTTTTTTTTTTTTTTTTTTTTTTTTTTTTTTTTTGGTTTTCTCTTTTTTTTGGTGGGGGGAGAAGAGAGGGAGGAGGGAAAGCAGCGTGTATTTTTGGGTGCAAACCCCGGACTTTGCAAAACAATCTCCGCCCCCAAGAGGATATTTAATCTGCAACAGAAATCGCTACTTGCGGAGGCAAACTTGAGACGGGGAAAGGGTGCGGGCGGCGGAGGAGGGAGACCCCGGCCCTGCTCCCGGCCCCGGCGGAGCCCGACCCCGGCGAGGGAAGATGCGTTTCTCTTTCCCGGCGGCTGCTCTTGGGACGAGACTTTCGTCTGGACTGATCGGGAATGGACTTTTTAAGGACACGCTTACCCATCTAAGGGCGACTTGGGCATAAACAGCAACGCCAACTCTGATTTGGTGCTGGAAGCTGCCTCTGCCACTGAACAGCTGCTCTCACCCTACTTCTGGCCCTCCCCTGTCCCGTCCTCAGAAGAGGATCCTGAGCTTTTTTTTTTTTTTAAATTGTTGTTGCATGAATTTTATTTTAGGTGGTTGTTTTTTCCACCTGGCTTGGCTGTTTTGGGATTTTTCTTTTTTTTTTTTAATTGTTGTTGCATGAATTTTATTTTAGGTGGTTGTTTTTTCCACCTGGCTTGGCTGTTTTGGGGTCTTGCGGACTGGTAGCTGCAGTAACAGCTCCACCACCTCTCATCATGGCTAGCCCCACAGATAATAACGAGGGCTTCTTCTCAGATGTCAGAAAGGTGGGTTACTTGCGCAAACCCAAGAGCATGCATAAACGCTTTTTCGTGCTGAGGGCAGCCAGCGAGTCTGGACCCGCCCGGCTGGAGTATTATGAGAATGAGAAGAAATGGAGACACAAGTCAGGGGCCCCCAAGCGCTCCATCCCACTAGAAAGCTGCTTCAACATCAACAAACGGGCTGACTCCAAGAACAAGCACCTGGTGGCCCTCTACACCAAGGACGAGCACTTTGCCATTGCAGCTGACAGCGAGCCTGAACAGGAGAGCTGGTACCAAGCGCTGCTGCAGTTGCACAACAGGGCCAAGGGCCACCACCACCTCCATCACCATCACCACCACCACCACAGCGACGTCACCTTTGGAGGCAGCAATGCGGGACTAGGGGAAGCAGGTGAGGACAGCTATGGTGAGGTAGCCCCTGGCCCGGCTTTTAAGGAAGTTTGGCAAGTAATTCTGAAGCCTAAGGGCCTAGGCCAGACAAAGAACCTGATTGGCATCTACCGCCTGTGCCTGACTAACAAGACCATCAGCTTTGTGAAGCTGAATTCAGATGCGGCTGCTGTGGTGCTGCAGCTGCTCAATATCCGTCGCTGTGGTCACTCTGAGAACTTCTTCTTCATTGAGGTGGGGCGCTCGGCGGTCACTGGGCCCGGTGAGTTCTGGATGCAGGTGGATGACTCGGTGGTGGCGCAGAACATGCACGAAACCATCTTGGAGGCCATGCGAGCAATGAGCGAGGAATTCCGACCCCGCAGCAAGAGCCAGTCCTCCTCAAACTGTTCCAACCCCATCTCTGTGCCCCTTCGCAGCAGGCATCACGTCAACAACCCTCCACCCAGCCAAGTGGGCCTCAGCCGCCGGTCCAGGACTGAGAGTGTCACGGCCACCTCTCCTGCTGGTGGTGGGGGTGGAGGTACGGGTGGCAAACCCAGCTCTTTCCGGGTTCGAGCGTCGAGTGATGGGGAAGGCACGATGTCGAGGCCTGCCTCTGTGGATGGTAGCCCAGTTAGTCCCAGTGCCAACCGGACCCATTCGCATAGGCACCGTGGCAACTCCAGGCTCCATCCTCCACTCAACCATAGCCGGTCCATCCCAATGCCTTCCTCGCGCTGCTCTCCTTCAGCCACCAGTCCAGTCAGCCTGTCATCCAGCAGTACCAGTGGCCATGGCTCCACCTCAGACTGCCTGTTTCCTCGAAGGTCTAGTGCTTCGGTGTCTGGCTCCCCTAGCGATGGTGGATTTATTTCTTCTGATGAGTATGGTTCCAGCCCGTGTGACTTCCGCAGCTCCTTTCGCAGTGTGACCCCAGATTCATTGGGACACACCCCACCAGCTCGGGGAGATGAAGAGCTCAACTACATCTGCATGGGGGGGAAGGCCACCTCCTCTTGCTGCAGCCTGGCAGCCCCCAATGGCCACTTCATCCCACGCACCTGCCACCCACAGCAGCAGCCCCGCTACCCTAGCACACCGTGCTGTCCTCGAGGTGGTAGCGAGGAGGTTGCCGACTTGGAGAAGGCATTCAGGAAGCGGACTCACTCTGCAGGCACATCGCCCACCATCTCCCACCAGAAGACACCCTCACAGTCTTCGGTGGCCTCCATTGAGGAGTACACAGAGATGCTGCCTTCTTACCCCTGTGGTGGCAGCCGGCTGCCCTCCTACCGGCACTCAGCCTTTGTGCCTACTCACTCCTACCCAGAGGAGTGTCTGGAGATGCACCACCTGGATGGCGGCCATCATCGGACCAACTCCGCCCCGCACACGGATGATGGCTACATGCCCATGTCACCTGGTGTAGCCCCTGTGCCCAGCGGTGGGGGGCCCCCCAAGGGTGGTGACTACATGCCCATGAGTCCTAAGAGCGTGTCGGCCCCACAGCAGATCATCAACCCTGGCAGGGGGGGCCGCCACCCTCCAGCCACGGTGGACTCCAACGGGTACATGATGATGTCCCCCAGTGGCAGCTACTCCCCCGACAGCGGTTCTGCGGGCTATGGCAAGATCTGGACAAATGGCGCAGGCCACCACCCGAAACTCTCGGTGGAGAGCAACGAAGGGAAGCTCCCCTGTGGTGGCAGTGACTACATCAACATGTCCCCAGCCAGCGGCTCCACCACCAGCACCCCTCCTGACTGCTACTTTGGAGGCGCGGGGCAGCCGGGCGTTGAGGAGGCCGCCACCGCGGCCCACCACAAACCCATCTACTCCTACTTCTCGCTGCCGCGCTCCTTCAAGCACGTGCACCGGCGGGGTGGCGGCGGGGCGGCAGGCGAGGAGGGCAGCCCCCAGCCCCGCATGGCTCTGGGCTCCAGCCGCCTCCTCTACGCCGCCGAGGACTCGTCCTCCTCCACCAGCAGCGACAGCCTGGGCGGCGGCGGCGGCACCGAGGGGGGCCCCCCGCCGCAGGCGCAGCCCCCGCGCAAGGTGGACACGGCCGTGCAGACCAAGGGCCGCCTGGCGCGACCCACCCGGCTGTCGCTGGGCGGCCCCAAGGCCAGCACCCTGCCGCGGGCCCGGGAGCAGCCCCCGCTCCTCCTGCCCCCGGAGCCCAAGAGCCCCGGCGAGTACGTGAACATCGAGTTCATCGCCGGCGAGAAGCCGGCCTTCCCTTCGTCCGCCCTGGGGCTGGGCCTGCCGCCGCCGCCGGGCAACGAGGGCGCCGAGGAGTACATGAACATGGAGCTGGGGCCGCCGCGGGCCCCCTGCCCCTCCGGCTTCGCCGCCGCCCGGGCGGTCTCCGCAGCCCGCTCCGGCCGAGGCGCGGCCCCCGGCGGCCGGGACTACGTGACGATGCAGCTGGGGGGCGCCGCCGGCGGGGCCTCCTGCTCGGACTGCGCCGACAGCCCTTCCCCCTGCTCGCCTGCCCTCCTGCTCAGCTACGCCGACGTGCGGGCGGGTCGCTCCGCCGCCGAGAAGCCCCCTCCGGCGGCGACGGCTTCCCCGGAGCTGTCGCGGCCGCCGGCCGAGCTGTCGGCGGCGCCGCCGCGCTCCTCCTCCCTGCTGGGGGGTCCCGGCGCGGGCAGCGCCTTCACCCGCGTCAGCCTCAGCCCCGGCCGCAACCAGAGCGCCAAGGTGATCCGCGCCGACCCGCAGGGCGGCCGCCGGCGGCACAGCTCCGAGACCTTCTCCTCCACGCCCAGCGCCGCCCGCGGAGCGGCGGGCAGCGGCGGCGGGCCCGGGGCGGCCTTCCCCTGCGGCGGGGCGGGGGGCGCCGAGGAGGTGAAGCGGCACAGCTCGGCCTCCTTCGAGAACGTCTGGCTGCGGCCCGCCGCGGGGGAGCCCCGCCGGGAGCCGGGGGCCGCGCCCGCCCTGGAGAACGGGCTCAACTACATCGACCTGGACTTGGTGAAGGACTTCAGTCACCGCCGCCGCCACCACCACCTCCACCCCCCCGCCGAGGGCGCCGCTCTGCCGGGGGGCAAGCAGCCGCCGCCGAAGCCCCCGGGCCAGCCCCGCGGGAGCGGCCACTCCAGCGACGACATGAGCGCGTACGCCAGCATCAGCTTCCAGAAGCGGGAGGAGATGTAGGAACCGGGCGCCCGGCGGGGAAGGTGAGCCGGGGGCGGGGCGAGCGCGGGTGAACGGCCCCGGGCGGCTCCGTGAGGGGAGAGGGGCCGGGGCGGGGGCCGAGGGGCGCCTCGGTTGTGGCGTCTTCCCGTGGGGACCCGGCAGAGAGTGCCACGGCACGGCGGGGGGGGGCTTCTCCCCCGCGGGGGGCTTCCGGGGGA